GATTTCATCAAAAATTTTATCTTGACTGATACTTATTTCGTCACCATGGTTCATATTAGCAAGTTCTTGATGCTGTATGCGTATTTCATACTTATCCTTTTCAACGCCGATTCCGCTTTGAGTGAGACCCATATCAGCAGGTAGGGGTTCTCCAGGATCAATCAGGTATAGGCTCTTTATTGTTTTCTGGTTGCCTTCATTTATTTTCTTAAACTCACTAACCTTTGCATTTCAGAATTCGCAGGCTTCATCAAGATCTTCTGCAGATTTCAAGTCCCATTCAAATGCCGTTTTTTTTATTCTTGGAGGTATTTACACAACTTTTTAGTACTTCTCGTCCGTCTTTGGTTGGCTCTATTTTGTTGGATCTTTCTTCTGTGCTCATAGCCATCTGGAATTTACTAACTTTTCCTATCCATTTTTCACATTCACGATGCAGGGCTTCTTTTTCCAAGAACCTTTCAGATAAGTTATTATTCAACCCTTCATCATTTTCATCATCATGTTCAACCAACATTTCACAGTCACTTTCATCTTCGGTTTCATCATCGTCAATGTTGTCAGATCTTGCGGGTACGGTTTCTATCACCTTTTCCTTTTTCTGATCCAGTTCGTTCGATTCAGACTTATTAACAACATCTACTGGCTTTTGATAATAGGCAAGCAGCTTATACCCATCTTTTTCAATTCCTGTTTCATCTTGCTGGTAGAGTTCGAGACCATACTTTCCATCTGAATTATCGTTTTCTGCATATTTTGGGTAAGCGGCTAGGGGTTTCTTTTCAACCTCTATTCCCTTATTTTTGTCCTTTTTGACTCCAATTTCTTCCTCATAGCAGAGAACAATCAGATATGTTCTATTAGTGTCACCCATATCTGCAGTCTTTTGATAATAAACGAATGCATTATGATCATCCTTTTCGATACCAATTCTATTTTAATTACAGTATCTATGGTTGGCAGGTTTGGGTTTTTCAAGTTCCTTTGACCTGGGCATCAAATTTTTCAACGTTTCCATATAACTGTCGATTAAACTTTTTAGAGCAATTTCAGCATCAGCGTTACTGACCTTGGTTGCCACCTCCAGAGCAAGATATAGGTCAATTATTTTAGTGGTTTGGTTCTTTTTGTACTGTGACAGTGGTGGGGAAACCTTCGGGCTTGGAGCAACTAGGACCATTGGAGGTGCAAGCGGCGGACTTTTTCTTTTCATCCTTTTTAGTTGGGGCCAGTTGGATATACAGGGGTAGGTATATAACCTCTTCTTGTTCGTCATCCAGGTTGCTCTTTGGACAAACATGCTCTAGAATTTCTGCAAAGAGTTTTAGGGCTTGTGGGTCACCTAAATTTCGATCTCTAATAGTTTGG